GCCTTTGCTTTAGGGGTCAGATCCAAAAACCATGTCAAGCCCAATGCGAAGGAGCTTACTACTTATGTTTTCTTCTAGAGTTTCATGGTTTTGGGTCTTACATCCAAGTCTTTAATCCATTTGGTTAATTTTTGTGTATGGTGAATGATACCAGTCTGGTTTCACTCTTTTGCATATGGTGGTTTTCCCAACACCATTTATTGAAGAGACTGTGCTTTCCTTATTGTACATATTCTTGCCTCCTTCACTGTAAATTAACTGACCATAGATGTGTGGGTTTATTTCTGGGTTCCACTATCTGTGTATCTGTTTTTATTTCAAAACATACTGTTTTGATTACTACAGTTTTATAATATAGTTTAAAATCAGGAAGCATGATCCCTCATGCTTTTGTTCTTCTTTCTCAGATTGCTTTGACTCATTGGAATCTTTTGTGGTTCCATATAAATTTTAGTATTGTTTGTTCTATTTCTGTGAAAAATTCCATTGGAATTGGTACTGCATAGGGATTTAATTGAATTTGTAGATTGCTTTGGGTAATATGGATATTTTAACAATATTAATTCTGCCAATCCATGAGCACAGAATATCTTCCAATTTATTTGTATCTTCTTTAGTTTCTTCCATCAATGTCTTATAATTGTCAGCATACAGGTCTTTTACTACATTGGTTAAATTTATTTATATATTTTATTATTTTTCATGCGGTTGTAAATGGGATTGCTTTCTTAATTTTCCCTTTCTGATAGCTCATTGTTAGTGCATAGAAATGCAACAGATCTTTGCAGATTGATTTTGTACCATGAAACTTCAATGAATTTATTAGTTTTATCAGTTTTTTTGTGGAATCTTTAGGATTCTCTGTATTTATAATTATGTCTGCAAATAATGACAGTTTAACTTTTTCCAATTTGGATTCATTTATTTATTGCCTAATTACTCTGGGTAGGACTTCCAATACTAGGTTGAATAAAAATAGGCAATAGCAACAATAGCCACATAAATTGCTGTACATCTTTGGGCAATGATTTTGGCAATATTTGCTAAGCACCTTTATACTGTTCACTTCTTTCTGTTTCTATTTTTGGGACTTTGTTCTAAAGATATAATCTCTATCCTTAGATATACATCTTCTTATATTTCTATATACATGAAGAAAACCCCTTTGCACGCAGAGAGGAGGTAAGGACTAGTGGTTAAGGACGGTCTCTGGAAAGCCTAGGCTCAAATTCTGACTCCACTACTGGCTAAATGTATGATGTTGGGCAAGTTATTTCGATTCTGTGTCTCAGCTTCTTCACTCTGACACAGAGATAATCTTAGTACTTCATAGGATCTTTGTGAGGATTAAATGAGGTAGTAAGCATAAGTCACTTCCATTGCTGATTTTAATTGGTTTGCTATTTCCATTATTACATTCATAATGGGGCTAGTTATAATAGCAAAAAATGGGAAGAGTCCTAGTGCTCTATAATATGAGATTGGTTTATGAACTCTGATTTACCCATTCAAGGGCAAAGTTGTTAAATTTCATCACAGTATACACAGTGTCTAGCACAGGAACTAATCCTGTAAGTGCTTAACGCAATCTGGATTTCATTGTGAAATTCACAAGGTTCACATGCGGTCATGTCTTATAGGTAAGGGCATATCACAGTTTAATTAGTATGTGGTACATTTTATATTCAGTGAAATCTGTGGTGGGCTGAATAAGGACCGCCCAAAGATGGCCATGTCCTAATCATCAAAACTTGTCAATGACACTTTCTATGGCAAAACATACTTAGTAGATGTGACTAAATTAAGGACCTTGAGATGGGGAAATTGCTCTGGATTATCCATGTGGGCCCAATGCAATCAGAAGAGGCCCTACAAGAAGGAGGTAGGGGGGTCAGAGTTAATAGTAGAAGATGTGATAAAAGAAGCAGCGGTTGAAAGGATGAGAAGAGGCCAGGAGCCAAGAAATGGATGCAGCTTCTAGAAGCTAAAAATGGCAAGAAAATAATTCTGCCCTGAACCCTCCAGAAGGAACTAGCTCTGCTGACATCCTGACTTTAGTGCAGTGAAATTAATTGAACTTCTGATCCTCAGAGCTCTAAGATGGTAAGTGTGTGTTATTTTAAGCTACAAGGTTCATGGTAATTTGTTAGAGCAGCAATAGGAAACTAATATATAGTCAAATTGGGTGAGATAGGTTCTTTTTACTTCTAGGCAATGTTGAGCCCTCAGTGTTCTTTGAATACCACTTAACCCTATACCATTCAATACAAAGCTATTGAATGAATACTGAATGGGATAGTACACAGTCATCAAAATGATGTTCACAAAGAGTTCATAGTAAAATAGAAAAATAGTATCTGAAAAAGTCAATTTGCATTTCATTGAAATAACAGTTGTAACAAATTGGCAAATATCAAATTATGCATAAAAGAATTCCAGGAGAAAATAAAATAGTAAAAGGGATTGTTTCTATATATTGGGACTATAAATGATTTTATTATTTCTTCTTTACATTTCTGCAAATTTCTTACAGTGAATAGATACTGCTTTCATAGTGGAAAAACCTCCAATTTCACTTAAAAAGTAGACAGCAGTATAATATGAAACATAAAGAGCAATTTACAAGATATTGGTAAACTCAACCTCTTTATGCACCAGTCACTCTAACTTAATTAGTAATTCAACGCTTTCAAATGCATAGGTCTCACATGTCACTCATTACAGTCAACATGGATCTGTGTTTTGATTTTGCAAACATGGCTCAGCTTGAAGATGATTATCATCTTCAAGAATGATCTGTCAACCAGCCACTGTGAGCTGCATGAGGACAGCAGGGCATCAGAGGGGTAGTGATTTAAGTGGACACTGGCAATGAACTCACTGGGAAGGAAAAAGGCAAAGAGAAGAAAAACTGCGGAAGCTACAGAGTAACTCTGCTTCACTTCACTTGAGTGTGGAAACATGAGAGAGTTCTTCCTGGAACTCCCCTCCTTGCCCTTGGAGAAGTCATTCCACTACTCTGAGCCGTAGTCTCTTCTCGTGTGTTATGAGGGTACAGAACTAAATTATCTCTAAGATAATTGCCCCGAAAAAAATCACTTTCACTATCCTCAAGTCTTTGTATTCTTAAAGGGATTACTGTGAACTATGTCTAATGCAATTTGCCAGTAGTGCCATCACCATCAGACATTTCACAGTATCTTCTTTTCCACAATGTCAGAAATTAACTGCATGGTGTATTAAAAGGATTAAACATGCGAGGGGTTGCAGCAGCAGCCTGATGTCTGTTAGTCCCTGAAGCCTTACAGCTTGTCACTTGTCAACTCTTTGAGGAATGCATTCATGACCCCAGGAAAATTTTCTACTTTTTTCCATGAAAATCAAGCTCATTAACAAAACTTAAAAACAGTTTTCCAACTAATACAGTGCTTGATAATTTCTCAGTTATTGTAATTTTAAACCAAGGGTACCATTTCTGAAATGTGTCACATGAAGTTTAGTGAAAGTTTAAAATATACTAGGATATTTTTTTCCATAAAATGTTGATAGAATACTTATTTGAAATAAATCTATTAAATCCAAGCCTTAAAGAACTTACAAGTCTGTAGGGCAGAATAATCATGTACATATTTAACTCTAATGCAAAACAGAAGGGTAAATGCCAGAGAAAAACACAGATGTATTACTAGAGATAGAATTTCAGAGGATAATTATGTGCAGCTGTCCAGGTAGACAGAGATGGTGCAGGGAAGCTTATGGGGTACATGGCATCGAAGGCTGTTTAGATCCTGAATTCAAGAATTGTGGTGGACAGAGAGGGCTTTCTTGGTGAAGAAAACAGAATGAGCAGTGTCTTGGTGGCATGGAAACTTTGCAGTGTGCATGGAGAAGAGCAAAGAGTGAGATCTGTCATTGCTCCAGGTTAAGGAGCCATGGGATACAAAACTGAAACAACAGAGAAGACCCAGGTGGCCACAGCCTTGAGTGGCAGCCCAAAGAGACTGCACTTTATTGTCCAGGCAGTGGAGAGCTATATAGGACTTCTGAGCAATTGGTTAGTTGATTTGAAGTCACCTCTCCTTATTATAGAGAACAAAAATAATTTTGTACTTTAAAAGTCATTATAATTTCCCTCTCAACAAGTGAATAAAATTTTAAGCAATCTGTGCATTACCCAATGAAATGGAAAAATTTAAACTTTACAAGTTTGAAACTCTGAGGGGGAAGATTTCCTTCACTGCTCAGGTGGCTTGGTCACCCAACTTTATCCTGGGGCCTCCAAGTCTCCCAGTGCACACCTCTGGACATCAGAGCCTGATTCTGGCCCTTTAGACACACCCCTGGTCCTCCTCCCTGAGTGTTCTTAGGGACTGGCACTAAATCCACGTTCTGTACCTGAAAACACAGCACCAATTTAGCACAGTGCTCTCTGTGTGTGTGCACACATTTATATATAAATGTATAAATACACACACATTGCACAAAATGGTGATGGCACAGACTGTTACCTTATTGTTACAGCTGTTATTTTGTAGTGAAAGCTTTATTTTCCTAAATGCTTTAAGAGCTTTTTTAGGGCAGGCCCACCATGGTGTATCCTGAATCCAGCCAATACTCAATTAGCATTTGCTGATCAATTGATGTTAGCTAAGTCCTTCGGCCTCCAGTATATGTTGCATTTCTTTCTAGGATCAGGAGAATAGCTGGTTAACACACTTGATATAATAGGACTAAAAAGTATGGTTTCTATCTTCATTTAGATCTGTGAAAGGCAAGATAGCTTATTTCTTTCAAAGCTCCTAAAGTAATGTAACTGAACCTGTCATATGAAAGCAGTCTATCAGTGCGTGTGTGCCTGTGCTTGTGCGCATGCATGTGTGAAATTAGTGCCCAACTGCAAAATGGAGAAATCATATGCTAAATATTAAATACAGGTGGTTTGGTAAATGCATAGGGTTCATCAACTAACATGGTTTTTATGTGTTATACTTAATACTTACCTCAATAAAGAAGATACTGGCTGCTGATGTTGGATGGTGGTACATATAGACTGTCACGAGAATGGCTGCTACTATAATGAGGACCAGGATGAGAATTCCAACAATGAGCCCAGCATGAAGGGTTCCCCCTTTCTTCTCGGCTGCACTGTCATCTGTAGAAGCTGAAAGAAGAGCACAGCTGTGAGGATACGCATCTGCACACTCAAGGTTGCCCTTTCATTAGCAAGGGTATTTATATTTTTAATAAAGTACCACTGGATATTTTTTACCTTCTTACAACTTTTTATTTCCATAATACCAATTTTAGAAGTTAGGTATTCTTTATTTTGGGAAGTGAAAAGTCTTTATTGATGATTAAAAAGTTATAACTGCATTTTAATTTATAGTTCAATAAACACAATAGTCTTTGTTCTAAAGATACAGTGGAAAATCTAAAACTCTAACTATGTAATAAATTTAATGTTGATTTTTCTCATTAAACCACTGGCACTGTGACCTATGGAAAAAACTGATTACTCTCTGAAAGTTTTTCTCTCATTTTCTTCTGAAAAATCTTAACTGAAGAGTAGCTGACATCTTTTGGTGGGTACACAGGCATTTTTCAGGAAGTCTGTGCATGAGTTAAAAGGATAATTTTCAAAATCTGCTTTAAACTGAAATACCCTTTGAAAGTGTAACAGATGGATGTTAAATGACCCTCAGCTAGTTTTATCACTATGTAAAGGGAACACACAGCATATGAAAATATTCTACTATGCCACAAACCAATACCATTTTCTCCAACTTTGAGACACTTTCCACTATAATATCTACCTTCAGGGAGATAGGAAACAGAGGAATTAAATTTCGAATGTACTAATTATCTAACTCAAAGTCAATCAACCAAATAAAACTAATCTCTAAAATCTTCTCTTGTTCTAAAATTCTGTAATATTTGATGATTATTGAGGTATTCAGAGGAGATCTTCTGAAATTATGTGCAGCAGGTAACTGCATCCTAGTACATAATATGATTGGTATTTTTGAATCATTACAAAGTTCTTTAAGACTCACAGAAGTTCTAGAACACTGATTCCTAATCCTTTTATTACCAATTGAGTCTTTGTTATTTTTACCCTTTACCTCTGGTTTAAACATTTGTCTATTAAACCTTATTTAAGAAGCCCTGATTTATTTCTTTTACTTTAAGTTTTTGTTAATAAAAAACAACATGACTCCTTATCAGAATGTGTAGTCAATATAAAATAACAGAATTCCAGAAAAAGAAAAGAAACATGGCCTCCCAATTTTGCTACCCATCCTTTGAGTTTTTGTCGCTATTGGTTTTTTATTCTTTGCTTGAGATCTGCTGTTGGTTTCAGTACTCTCTCCAAATCTAATAAAACTCAGTATCCTAAAGCTTTCCCTTACATAACAAAAATTCACTAGTGAAAGAATATAAAATTTAAAAAGTAATTCATTATATAAAGTAATTCATTTATAGAGAGGATTCTGGGAAGATAGCAGAGAAGAGAGTATCAGAAAACTCTTTCCACATAGACAATAAATACACTAGCAGAATCTGTCTGACAACTCTTTTGGAACTCTGGACTCTCTTGAAGGTTCACAACATCCAGGGGGAAGGCTTATGCTGTAAATTGTGATTTCCAGTCAATTTCAGCTCTTAGTGTAGTAGTGCCCACCCATCCTTCACCCCTCAGCTATGGGTCAGGCAGCTGTACATCTGTTCCTGAAGCAGCCTGCAGGAGTTTGGGAGGCAAAAAGGACTCCGTCCTCCAAATATCATCAATCTGTGTTCTGATCACTGATTGATGCTTTTCATCAGAGATATGCAGACCAAGGAACAGCCATTGGTTTTGCACCTTTTCCCACTGTTGCAACTCCTTCCCCATCTGGCTGAAGTGAATTCCCAAATTTGCTGAGAAATGAGCATAAACATGCAAAAGGCTTATGGAATTCCAGTAAGATGAGCTCAAGGGACCCACACTGAGACACATTATAATCAAACTTTTGAAAAATAAAGTAAAAGAGAGAATGTAATCTCTGTGTTGACAACAAATTAAATAGCTATGGAATACAAACAAAAGAAATGAGAAAGGAATTTAAACACTGTACTACAAAAAAAATCAGCTAAATATAAAGAAAACTATTTTTTGTGCAATGCTGGAAACGAGGGGCAATAAAGATATAAGGCGTATAGAAAACAAATAGCAAAATGCCAGAAGTAACTCCCTCCTTATCAGTAATTAATTTAAATCTAAATGGATTAAATTCTGTAATCAAAAGATACAGATGGGCAGAAGGAATAAAAACACACGGTCTAACTATATGCTGTCCATTAGACACTCTTTTTAAATTCAAAGACACAAACAGATGGAAAGTGAAAGTATGGAAATGATATTTCATGAGAAGAGTAACTAAAAGAAGAGGTGGCTATATTAACATCAGACTAAATTGTGAATCAAAAAAGTTTATGAGACAAAGAAGGATATTATATGTTAATAGAAGATTCAATACAGCAAGAAGACATAAAAAGTATAAACATTTATGCAGTTAATGACAAACCATGAAAATATTTGAAGCAAAGATTCACAGAATTGAAGGGATAAAAAGTTCTACAATAATAGTCAGGAATTTCAATATTCCACTCTCAGTATTTCATGGAACAACCAGACAGAAGATTAAGAAAAGAAATAGAGGACTTACCAATAAATCAACCAGAGCTAACAGACACATACCCAAAAAAACACATTCTTTCAAGTGTACATGGGACATTTTCTAGGATGGACCACACGTTTAGGCCAAAATTTATATCTCAATAAGTTTAAAAAGATAGATATTATATTAAAATGTCTTCTCCATCCACAATGGGATGGAGTCAAACAGAAGTAAAACTGGAAATTCACGAATTTGTGGAAATTAAATGACACACTATTAAAGTTTGAATCCAATCTATGGATCAAAGATGAAATCTCAGGGGAAATTAGAAATACTTAGAGATGAATGGAATGCAGCAAAAGCAAGGTTAAGGATGGGGATTTATAGCTGTAAATGCCTACAGTAAAAAGCAAGAAAGATCTAAAAAATCATGATCAGATTTTTACCTTGAAACCTCACTCACTCCCTTTATTTAGGCATAAATGCTTGCTTTCAGTTATTACTTATTTATATTTCCAATAATGGTTTATTTATTCTCATTTTTAAAACCTTCCTTTACAGTGCTGGTATAGAGGTTAACATACCACATCACATCTAATGAAATCTGTACAGAGGCTATTTTGTGATTAATAGATAAATAATTTATAACATTTTTGGATGATGATTTTACTAAGATAAAAAATCCTCATGGATTCTCAAAATATTACTAACGAGAAGACAAAACAAATATTTAGGAGTCCAATACTGTGCTATGACTTTATGATGTGTTATAATTAGAGCAAACCATTTAAAGAGAAATATAGCAAGTTCAGTTCCAAAATTTTACAGAGGCATCCTTGTGCCCTGAGCCAATGCTATTTCCAGCTGCTTTGGAGTAATCATCTGAAAGGAGTGGCCAAAATTGCACACATATTTCTGGAGAACATGTTTTTCTGTTTTCATTTATTTAGACCAGTTTTCTGCATCTCTATGCAATGTTTCCTCTACTAACAGGTATTAATGATAGCATATTTAAGCTTGTTGAATCCAGAGGTGAAGTGATTTTGCTATTGATATACTCTGATTTTAAATTCTTTCAATATTTGGTTTAATATCACTGCCTAATTAAATGGTACAAGGTTTGCCTACTTACGGGTACCTGCAAACAGGTTCAGGAGATTCTGTCTGTTAAAAATGATAAGCACCTCAAACATAAAACTTAAATTTAAAAAGTGTAAGCAAATGCTAGTAATTTCCATAATTGAAATTTGGTTCATTCACCTCAAGGGCAGATTGCTCAAATAAATTGATTTCAATCCTTCAGAAAAGACAATCACCAAAGATGTCAACATTGAAATAGTCACTCATTCCTGTGGCTTGACTGATTGTGTGTGGAGATTGGCATATAGAAGTGGGTCATAGAAAATTCCTAACCTGTTTCAGCTCCAAACTTCTTAAGATCATCAGAGTCTATTACGAGCTGGGGGAATATTTGAAAATATCTGGAGGAATTAAGTTTGAAGGCACAAACTCTTACTCTGTTCTTAGAAATAGTTCATGCTTATTCACTCATGTCCAAAAGTGAGCAAAAGGTAAACAACTATCCTTCTAACACACACAGGACAATTCTAATCTGTACCTTTATTAGCTTTACATTGTGTATTTAAATAAGAGTTAATGATAAAGGATAATAAGACACCATGAAACAGATCCTCGAGCCAAAAAAGATAGTGCACAGATATATATTTATTTTTTTGCAATTTTTAAATTAAGGTATCATTGATATACACTCTTATGAAGGTTTCACAAGAAAAACAATGTGGTTGTTACATTCACCCTTACTATCGAGTACCCCCAGATAACCCATTGCAGTCACTGTCCATCAGTGTAGTAGGATGCCACAGAGTTCCTATTTGTTTTCTCTGAGCTACACTGTCTTCCCTGTGACCCCACACACACCATGTGCACCAATCGTGATACCCCACAACCCCCTTCTCACTCCCTCCCCACCTGCCTTCCCCCACCTCTCCCCTTTGGTAACCACTATTCCCTTCTTGGAGTCTGTAAGTCTGCTGGTATTTTGTCCCTTCAGTTTTGCTTAATTATTATATTCCACAAAGGAGGGAAATTATTTGGTATTTGTCTTTCTTGGCCTGACTTATTTCACTGAGCATAATATCCACCAGCTCCATCCATGTTGTTGCAAATGGTAGGATTTGTTTCTTTCTTATGGCTGAATAGTATTCCATTGTGTATATGTACCACATCCTCTTTATCCATTCATCTACTGATGGACACTTAGGTTGCTTCCATATCTTGGCTATTGTAAATAGTGCTGTGATACAAACATAGGGGTGCATATGACTTTTTGAATCTGAGAAGTTGCATTCTTTGGGTAAATTCCTAGGAGTGGAATTTCTAGGTCAAATGGTATTTCTATTTTTAGTTTTTTGAGGAACCTCCATATTGCTTTCCACAATGGTTGAATTATTTTACATTCCCACCAGCAGTGTAGGAGGGTTCC